CCAAAGGCGGGGGCCAGATCTCCCTCCTGGCTGGCCCTGAAAGCAAACACGTCACCTGACGGGGGGGAAGAGGGCACCGATAAATGAAGCGGTGGATTAAGGTATCAGATGTTTCCTGCTGGGATTTAATGCCCTGAAGCACAGTGCATTGTATGTATTAAAACTGGACAGATTCTGCTCTCGGCTAGCACCCCGGTGAGCTGCACGCACCACACGGCCCAGCTCAGAGCTGCAGCTCACGCCACAGCAGACGTGAGCCCCCCTTGGCACTCACAGTCCAAGAACGGCCACGGGAGGAGGCGGCCACCGAGGGCAGATCTCTGTCGGGGACAAGAGCCTCGTGCCAGGAAGGGGCATCGTGCAAGGTGACTTTTCTCTTGTTCTGTACGGTGGCGGGGCGAGACCGGGCCGTCCCTCCCTTGTCCCCTGCCGCCTCCCGCGGGCACCGCACGGCGGGCGAGACCCTCTGCTGCAGCCCTCGCGTGCTGCTGACCGGCGGGGTCTGCCTCCCCCTTACCATCCTCTTCCGTGGAGGGAAGGAATGAAGTCAGAATTTATTTTAATTGTTTATTGTATAATATAAAACTACAAAAGTAAGACTGCTCATTTCCATGTACATTTGTCCAATTGTTTTTTTGATTACAGCCCATACCTACATGTGAATACAGTCATCTGGTTTCAGATGTATATGTCTGTAACATTGCATAGAAAAGGCACAGCTCTAAGGTCTGTGGGAGGGGAAGGGGAAATACAGCCTTTTTTCTTTTTTTTTCTTTTTTTTTCTTTTTTTGACAATAACAAGCCCTGTTCAAACAACCATGCACTGAACATGTCACACTATTTACACCTTTTCCAGAATCTTGGCCTTTACAGGCGCTAGTATGGATTACGCTCGGAACTAGACAGGAGTTGAGATTGGGATTTTATCTGCAATTTGTGTTTTTAAAGAGGTTCCAGAACTTGTATTAGGCTTATTTTCAGAAAAAGTGCTTAAAAAAAAGAACCAATTTCTTTTAAAATGTTCAGTCTCATTAATTAATAGAAGCACTGAAAGCAACTTGCACAGAAGCAGGATACTGAAACTTGACGGGGACGGGGGGACGACAGAAACCAAAACCAACCCGAAAGAAACCCTGTAACAAGAACAAAAAGTTCACAATGCTGGAGTGAATTAAACCGTTTGTCAGACAGGACCCATTACGATTTACTCAATTTAATGGTGATAAAAGTGTAAACTTTGGAGGCAAAACACTGGTTTTGAACAACCCAGGCTGTTACCACACAGCATTGAGGAAAAACCAAATTACCTGTCGCAAGGTCCAAATTTACTCTTGCAGTGATTGCTGCAGACGGTGGCCTTACTGTCTTGCTTTTCTGGCTGGCTGCAAGGAAGGTGCCAGATTGACGCATTTATGTATGACACCTGAAGAGGGCAGTTCCCCATCCTTTGCATATGGGGCTGTGCGATCCCCTCGGGCGCTGGAGGGGACCTGTGGTGTCCAAGGACCGGCTGGCCGGACGCACAGAGCAAGGCGGGTAGTTTGACCCCCAGCAAGCACAGCCTCTGCCGCACGTGCGCAGCGCGGTTGTGACTCCTTCTCTGGCCTTACCTTCTGGCAACGAGGTGGTGTCAGCTCTGTTGTCGCAACTTCTGGGGCTGGAGGTTAACATCCTGCAACCTTCTTCAGCCGTCCTGCCCCAGGGGCTTCAGCCGGGCTTCCCACGTGTGTGTTTAAAAAAAAAAAAAAAACACACAACAAAAAAAAACCCCAAAAATCACCTTTTTCAAACATTTATCAGGCCAGCAGGATGGAGGTGATTGCATTTGCTACTGGTTCCTGTTGCAGATTCCAGCAGAGTGCCGGCGAAGGCCCATCACGAGAAGCTGTGAGGGGGTAGGAGCCTGACTAGGGCTAATTTTGAACATAAAACTGTCCCTCATCCATACCTTTTTTGCATATTTTGAACAACCAGACCCATATTAGAAAAAGAGTGGAAAAAAATAGAGAAGTGATGTGAACCATGCATATCCTGACTAGAACTCAATTCATTTTCTCTGAATCTGGCTCCCATACCCTTTTTCATACAGATTTACATTCCTACAAGAGAATACATTCCTACCATACATTCTGTACATGTTACAATCCAGATGTTGTTAGCTTCACAATAAAATAAATATATTTACAGAAGGAAAAAAAAAAAGAATAAATAATTTATGAAAAACAAAAAAAAAAATCACTTCAGATCCAAAGCTCCTTTATTCTGCTCCCATCTTGTCACTTCATTGCACATTAATGTCAATCTCCATCCCTGGTGTAGGTCTCAGAGACATTCCGCGCGTGGCTGCCCTTAGGATCGTGGCAAAGGCCACACTACAGCCGGTAAGTGACCGTGCAGGGAGAAAGCCGCAGCTGAGCCCTTCCCTCCACAGCCCGCCACGCTTACAGACCAGCACCAGCCTTGCTGACCTTTTGCCTAGTCCCGTAAGTCAGGTATGTTTATGTCCTGTGGGATTCCCATAAGGACTCCGCCATAGGACGTTGCGCTTCAGCACCAAGGATACACAGACATCGTCTTCCGAGTGGTACGGTGGATTTAGAGCTCCTCTCCTGTGCTGCGGATACAAAAACTTCAGCTAACCCCACTTGAACAACAGCACAGCTCTCCAAAAATGGCACTGATGTGAACTTTTGCCTAGCGTATGGTATTTATTTAAATGCATAAGTAATCACCAAAAAAGGGGCAGCTCCAGCATACTGTAAATTGGTTTTTAACCAAGGGACTCTGTGAAACTCACCCGCGTGCCTGCGGGTTTGCGCAGGCAGACACACAACCCTGGCGTGGCTAACCTCTGCCCAGTTACAAGGGGTGCAGAATCCGGCCGGCCTGTTTTCCTACAAGGGCCGAGGAGCGCGGCTGAGCGAGGTCCGGTCCGGTCGCTGCCGGGTGTGA